TTGAGAGGGTTTGTGAGGAGCATTTGAATTCTATACAGTTCATGCTTGTAATTCTTGAGTTCATTCATCATCAATATTACTCCATAGTGCAAGGGTGGGTTTTTTCTCCCGGTTCTCGGGTTTTCCCACGGTAACATTGTCTTCCTTTTACTTGCTTTAATTCCTTCAAAGTTGTTCTTGATTGTTATGCTTGTTTGTTCATTGCTATTGTGGGTTGATTGCAAGTTAGTTGAACACTTTAATCCTTACAATTGGTATCAGAGCCAAGGTTGAATCTTTGGTGTTTTGATGATTTAGGGTTTGTGTTAAACTTGAAATTGTGATTGAGTTTCAAAGTTTGGAACTTTAGGTGTTCAAAGTTTGAGTCTTGGGTGTCAAGTTGCATTCTTTGTTGTTGAAAACCTATTGTGAACTTTGTGTGTTTGATTTGCAATGGAAGAAGGCAAGTTGAGAATTGAGAAGTTTGATGGGAAGGATTTTGGGTTTTGGAAGATGCAAATAGAGGACTATTTGTATCAAAAGAACCTATATTTGCCCCTTACTAGTAAACCATCGGGTATGAAGGAAGAGGAGTGGAAAGTATTGGATAGACAAGCCCTTGGAGTGATTAGATTGACATTGGCTAAGAGTGTTGCTTACAATGTCAAAGATGTGACAACGACGGTTGGTGTGATCAAAGCATTGTCCAATATGTATGAGAAGCCATCGGCTATGAAGAAGGTGTTCTTGATGCGTCGTTTGTTTGAAATTGAGATGAATGATAGTGGTTCCGCCCCCGAACATATAAATGTATTCAATTCAATAATCTCTCAACTAGCTTCGGTTGAGATTAAGTTTGATGATGAAATGAGGGCCTTGATCTTCTTGTCATCGTTGCCTAGAAGTTGGGATACCGTTGTAGCCTCCATTAGCAACTCTTCCGGAAAGTCGAAGTTGAAGTGTGATGATGTGAGGGACTTAATCTTGAGTGAGAGCTTGAGAAGGAAGAACTCGGGTGAGTCATCGGGTGGTGCTTATTCTAGTGAAGGTAGGGGACGTGGAAGACAACAAAGAGGTGCTCAAAGAGGAAGATCGAAGTCTAGAGGGAGGAGTAAGTCGAAAGGGAAGGTGAACATTGTGTGTTGGGGTTGTGGTGTGAAAGGGCATACTAAGAGGGAATGTCCTAATCCCAAGAAGAAGGGTGGTTCAAACCACAAGAACCACGATGATGCTAGTTCATCGGTTAGCTTGGCATCAAGCGATGAAATCGGTGATGCATTGATCTTGAGTGTTGATAGTCCCATTGAGTCTTGGATCCTTGATTCGGGAGCTTCATTTCATTCTTCTCCATGTAAGGAGATTTTCCAAAACTTCAAGAGTGGCAAGTTTGGAAAGGTGTACCTTGCGGATGATGAACCGTTGGATATTGTGGGGAAGGGAGATGTTATGATCAAGACTTCAAGTGGGAGCTCATGGAAGCTTGAAGATGTTAGGTACATACCTAAGCTAAGGAAAAATTTGATTTCGGTGGGTCAACTAGACTCAAGCGGTTTTAGAACCATGTTTGGTGAAGGTACTTGGAAGGTGTCAAAGGGAGCTATGGTGGTGGCTCGGGGCACGAAGACCGGCACATTGTACACTAACTTAGGGTGTAAAAGCATGATTGCTACAACCGCAAATGATGAGACTAAGCTTTGGCATACTCGGCTTGGTCACATGAGTGAGAAAGGGATGAAATTGCTAGCTTCAAAGGGTAAGTTGTCGGGGTTGAAATCAATCGACATGAAATTTTGTGAGACGTGTTTTTGGGAAACAAAAGAAGGTGTCTTTCACAAAAACCAAACGGTCCTTGAAGAAGGAGAAGCTAGAACTTGTGCACACGGATGTTTGGGGCCCATACCCCATCAAGTCCCTTGGTGGTTCTCACTATTTTGTCACTTTCATTGATGATTCAACCCGGAAAGTATGGGTATATTTCATGAAGCACAAGTCGGAAGTGAATGAGAAGTTCAAGACTTGGAAGGCGGAGGTTGAAAATGTTTTGGGCAAGAAGATTAAGGCAATCAAGTCCGACAATGGAGGAGAGTATGAGTTGGAAGCTTACAAAAACATTTGTAAGGAGCATGGCATTGTTTTGGAGAGGACCATTCCCGGTAAACCTCGCCAAAATGGGGTAGCGGAACGGATGAATAGGACCTTACTTGAGAGGGCGAGGTGTATGAGGTTGTTTGCGGGCCTCCCAAAATGTTTTTGGGCGGATGCCGTTAGTACCGCGGCTTACTTGATAAACCGTGGACCTTCGGTACCTTTGGAATTCAAGATACCGGAAGAGGAGTGGAGTGGTAAGGAGGTGTCCTACACTCACTTGAAGACCTTTGGTTGTGTGGCCTATTTGCAATCCGAAAAGAGAGACAAGCTAGACCCAAAAGCCATCAAATGTTACTTCATCGGGTATGGATGTGAGAAATATGGTTATAGATTGTGGGATCCTAAGAATCGAAAGATTGTTAGGCATTGTGACATCACTTTTGATGAGAGCTCTTTGTACAAAGACAACTTTGGTGGGAAATCCATTGAGAAAGAATCAATTGAAGATGAGCGGGAATTTGTTGAGCTAGATGGTAAGGTTAGAAGTGATAAGGAAGTTGAACAGGTAGAAGTTGAGGTGCAAATTCAACAAGCATCTCCTCAACATGGTGCTCATGTTCCGGTGGATTCGGATTCAAGTGATTCGGATGATGATGATCACTTGGAAACGGATGAGCGAGTAGTTATGGGTGAGCCCGTTGTGGTTCATGGAGAGCCATCTACACCACCAACGGTGAGGAGATCATCAAGAACAATCAAGCCACCACACCGATATTCTCCATCCTTGCATTATTTGTTGTTGACGGATTCCGGTGAGCCGGAATGTTATAAAGAGGCAATGGGCATGGGTGACTCGTTGAAGTGGGAGCAAGCAATGGAATATGAGATGTCTTCATTGGAGAAAAACAACACTTGGGTGCTAGTTGAGTTGCCTAAGGGCAAGAGAGCACTTTTGTGCAAGTGGATCTTTCGAAAGAAAGAAGAACCGGATGGTACAATTCGGTACAAGGCAAGACTTGTGGTGAAAGGTTTTTCACAAAAGGAGGGCATTGATTATCATGAGATCTTTGCTCCGGTTGTGAAGCTAACCACTATAAGGATCTTGTTGGCTATAGTGGTTTCGGAGGACTTATTTCTTGAGCAAATGGATGTAAAAACCGCGTTTTTACACGGTGATTTGGAGGAGGAAATCTACATGAAGCAACCGGAAGGGTTTCAAGTTCCGGGTCAAGAGAACTTGGTGTGCAAGCTTAAACGGAGTCTATATGGGTTGAAACAAGCTCCTAGACAATGGTACAAGAAGTTTGACAATTTCATGCTAGGCAATGGTTTCGTGAGAGCGGAAGGTGACCATTGTTGCTACTTTCAAAGGTATGACAATGGCTATATCTACTTGCTTTTGCATGAGAATTTCTAGGGATAGCTCAACGGGTGTGTTGAAGTTATCTCAAGAGGAGTATGTCAAGAAGGTGCTTAAAAGATTTAACATGATTGATGCAAAGCCTCGAAGCTCACCTTTTTCAAGTGAGCTCAAGTTGACTAAGGAGGATTGCCCAAAGACAAGGGAAGAGAAGGACAAAATGGCCATTGTTCCTTATGCTTCGGCCGTTGGTAGCATGATGTATGCTATGATTTGCACGAGACTCGACATTGCTCACGCAGTGGGAGTTGTGAGTAGGTTCATGTCAAATCCGGGTGAGAGACATTGGGAAGCCGTGAAGTGGCTATTGAGGTATTTGTTGGGTACTTCAAGTATAGCTCTTTGCTTTAGGAGAAATGGAGTTGTTTTGGAAGGTTTTGTTGATGCCGATTTTGGAGGATGTTATGATTCAAGCAAAAGCACTTCGGGGTATGTGTATACTATTGGTGGTACGGCCATTAGTTGGATGAGCAAGCTCCAAAAGTGTGTCTCTATGTCTACGACGGAAGCCGAGTATGTGGCTATGTCGGAAGTGGGAAAGGAGATGGAATGGTTGAAGGGTTTCCTTGAAGAAATGGGCATGAAACAAGATGTTTGTGCGTTGTATAGTGATAGCCAAAGTGCGGTTCAATTGGCTAAGAATCCTATGTTTCATTATCGCACTAAACACATCAAGAGGCGTTATCACTATACTAGGAGTTTGGTGAAGGATGGCACGATGTGTTTGAGGAAGATTGCCGGTTCAAAGAACCCGGCGGATATGCTCACTAAAGTTGTTTCTAATGACACATTGAGGTTGTGTAGGACCTCAATTGGACTCCGTCATTAATTTGAAGGAGTGTTGTGCTATGGTGAAATTGTTTTGATGAATGTATTAAGTGTTCTTGAGGAAGGAGTGTGTATGTGGTAGTCTATGGTGCATGTTTGATCCTATCTCCAAGTGGGAGATTGTTAGGATTAGTGTGGAGATAGATAAATACATGGAGACATAATGAGATTGATAGAAGCTGCCTTATTGTTAAGGTTCGACCAAACTTGTGAAAAGTTCGGTCGAACCCGGTTTTAAGTCAGTAGGTGCACCAGTTTTCATTTCTAGAGGAGGAGTGACCAAACCCAAGGAGGTTCGACCGAACCACCCCAGGTTCGACCGAACTCTGGGTAGGTTCGGCCGAACCTCCCTGCTCCCTATTTCGTCGCTTCGTTTTCGGCTTGTGCGATTTGCTTTAATCTTAGCCGTTAGATTGTATTTTTCTACCTAGACTATATATACCTTTTCTAAGCCTCTTTGTTGAGTATTCACAAACATTTAAACACATAGAGAGGTTTTGAGAGGGTTTGTGAGGAGCATTTGAATTCTATACAGTTCATGCTTGTAATTCTTGAGTTCATTCATCATCAATATTACTCCATAGTGCAAGGGTGGGTTTTTTCTCCCGGTTCTCGGGTTTTCCCACGGTAACATTGTCTTCCTTTTACTTGCTTTAATTCCTTCAAAGTTGTTCTTGATTGTTATGCTTGTTTGTTCATTGCTATTGTGGGTTGATTGCAAGTTAGTTGAACACTTTAATCCTTACACTTATTTTTGCATCCATGTTAGCTGTCTCTGTGAAATGAATAGCATGTTTAGTTGCAGTTGAAGGCTTAAGTTAAAACTTCATGTATTCTACCGCACAGAAAATAGTGATGAATGCATATTCACCTTCATGTTGCCGCCTCTGCATTATTTTCTTCTCTCGCTGCCGAATTGTTTTAGCACCCTAAACGTTTGAAATGTACATATGAGTAAATTTGCAAATGGAATGTATTTCAGAGCTTGCCAATAAGTAATTGGAAACTAAGATTTTGCAATTACCGGTTCCAACAATGTGTGATTTTGGGCCTTCATTATGGTGTCTGCATACCGATTCTTCAATTTTGCAATATGCAGGGCTCTTGATGGAGAGAGTTCAACATCTGATAATCTGCATTCTGAATCCATAAAACTCATACTTGTAGAAGGAGCACTAGCATAGCCACGTTCTGAATCCATAAAACTCATACTGGTGGTAGAAGGAGCAGTAGCACCAAAAGAGCCACTTGTAGAAGGAGCACTAGCATAGCCATGTTCTGAATCCATAAAACTCAAACTTGCAGAAACTTGACCAAAGCTACCCATTTGCAATGGTGAAGTATGTTTATCCTGCACATTCAAAACTGTTAAAACCCACCACCAAGATTTTTTATGTATATATGAATATAGAATATACATTAAACAAAGTAACCATTATTATAAGTAAGTTCCAACAAATTCTTCAGACCACAGAAGATAATGAAAGTAGCTCACCTTTACAGCAGTAAATTCATCATAAGGAATAATTTTCTCTGTTGCAACATCACATTTGAACTTTGATGAAGACAAAGGGCGGTCACTATTATGCTCATGAGAAGACCTTTGCCTTACATCTCTGTGTTCCCAAAGACGATCAAACACCCTGATGAGAGAACTCGCACGCTGATGGATATAATGGTCAGGAGGATTGTATAACATTGCATTAGAAAAAGTCAGTCTCACATCAGCCTCAAATTCTTCAGCGCGATCATATTTATGCTGCAGCAATTTCTGTTTAATGGTCCCAAGATCCATTGGCTTTTTGATGATGTCAAAGTAGTCGTCAATATTCCACATAACAGGATCTACAGGGACTTTAAACAGATTACTCAACGGATTGCTCATCAGCTTTTCAAGAACCGTCTGACAAAGTAATGTCGTAGACCGGTCTAACTTCAACTTCTTTGATACAGGACCTTTGATCACTTCCTCTGATCTTCTTTTCAATCCAAGAGTGGAGTTAACCTTCTTATTGCCAATCACATTTGTTATCTGATTGAAAGTTTCCGACGATTTCTTGAACACACCGTCCTCTTTAGGCGGTTGCTTTGACAATGGACATACTCCAAGCACATGAATGTTATTTTTGACACCAGAACTGACTTCACTCGCATCATCAATAATACCATTCGCAGGACAGGCACTCTTATCAGGACAGGCACTCTTTATGCACATGATTTATGGACTGTCTGAAAACAACGCAAAACATCAATTTAGACCAATTATTCATAACAAATTCTTCTCACATTGAACAATTCGAAAATTGACATAAAATCTCCCACTTAAAATAAAATATCCGCGTTCAATCCGAACATTAACGTGTTGTGCAATACATTAACAACCAAATTTGATTCAATTATCTTGAAAAAAAAAACATAATTTTAGGGATATTTGATTCAATAATTAAATTACTCTCATAATTTCCTTTACTGGTAAAATAATTGCTGGTTATGATGTTTCATTATTTTAAAATTTAGAAACAAAAGTTCAGATTTTCGAACGCGCGCTACACTAAATGTACTGATAATTAAATTAGATTACATCAAAGATAAACCCTTGATTATGAAATTGATATGATGAAAACAAAACAAACAACTTACATCAAATGCTGGTTCAATGGAGGAGACAAGTAACAAAAAGCAAAGTGTGATTCAATGGAGAACTTGAACTGCGCTTCAATAGAGAAAGTGGAGTGCGCTTCAAGTTCAATAGAGAACTGAGAGAGAGCTAAATTTTTTTTTTTTTTTTTTAAAGTGTGTTAATAAAATCAGCGCCCCAATAAATAAAGTGCATGAAACGCCTAAAGTTAGAGTAAATCAATTAGATAAAAGTTTCCTCTTGTCAAAATAAAAAAATAAAAAAAAGTTTCCTAAAAAAAAAAAAAGGTTTCCTATGCGGCTATGCGTACTAACACACTACACCCTCACTATCATGTTTTTTAAAAAAAATACACCTTATCTCTCTAGTCTCTCCTCTTATATAATGGCTAATATACTACGTGTGTATCAATCAATCAATCAATAACTATATATTAAAAGACACAACAGCAATGACACGTGTTATTTTTCTGATGTGTTCTTAATTTTTTTTTTTGAATAAAATTCAATTAAATAAACAAATCTTATTTACAAAAATATTTCCCTAACCTTATACAATATAATTACTTAAAATAAAAAAATAAAAAAAAATGACATATCTTTAACACAAATATTTATATAGTTATAAAAAAAAAATCTTAACATAATTTTGCTCATATTCTACATCATTTAATATGTAACATATTTTTCGTAATCCTTTATTTTGCTCAAAATTTGTCAACTATTTTTTTTATAATTTTTTTTATATAAAAACTAATTATAATGATAGTTTTTTTTTTTGAACGAGAAGAATAATATCATTAAATAAAATTCATACGGCATCTACAATAATAAGGATCGGTAAGCCAAAGATTTAGAGAAAATATCATAACTTTTACAATCAAAACCATAACTAATTTGCATATTTGGCATAGCTCATACTCTACCGCTTCAAGCTTAACGCGAGCAATAATTTTCGATGTCTTTGCATCTTTCCAAGTTGAGACCTTCGCAATCTGCATTGATGTTTTGATCAACCAGTTGATGACAAATCCCAGTGGCAATTCCAGTGGGAATTCGTAATTTAGAGGAAAAAAAATCTAAGTTAAATAAAAAAAAATACAACTGATTATATCATGTTTACCATCTGTGGTTTAGCGGTCAAAGAATTCACATGCAAGACATTCTCTTAGATGGGGACGCGGGACCAAACCCCTCACCAAACCCATTTGCTATATTTTTTTTTTTCTTGACTGTTTTTTTTTTCCCTTTTCAATATAATCAAATCATATGAGTATTATTTTACACCATCATACTTTTAGTTAATACAAGTATTTTCTCTTTTAAAAATAAGTTATTATATTATATTTACTTTATTTTACCATCTAATCATATAACTAATATATAAAGCTAAACTTTTAGCCAGGTCACGAGGCGGCGACACTTGGCGTTCCATTTTTTCGCCAAGTGTCACGCCACGTTGGATAGAATTTTATTTGAATAGAGTTTTATTTTCGATAAAATACCAATATTTTAGACGTACAAATTGAATTATAATTTTATTCAAAAGAAATGCTAGATTATAATTCAACGAACAATCCGGGCATCACACGGGACACAAAACTAGATTGCGACACTTGGCGTTCTAACTTTTCGCCAAGTGTCACGCCACGTTGGATAGATTTAAATAGACTTTTTAAGATTAAAAAGTTAATTTAGAATTTTATTTGGATAGAATTTAAGACTAAAATTGTTTGTTTAGAGTTTATTATCGATAAAATACCAATATTTCAGATGTACAAATTGAATTATAATTTATAATTCTAAAAATTTATCATATAAATTTAATTTTTATATCATAATATTTTTTGGAGCGAAAAAGTAGTTCAAAGCGTAAAACATCTATTTATAATATATACTAATCGGTTAAAATTATATAATTCACAATCTAATAGAATAGAGACCTGTCAATTAGGGTTGGGTCACGAGTCATCTCAAATTGGGTCACTTCAACTTACGAGTCAAGCAATGTTCAACTCTTGCCCAAAGTTTTGGGTTCGGGTCAATCCAATGTGCTTTAAACATTTTATTTATTTAGTTTATTTTTTGCTTTTTTAAAAAAAAAAAATTAATTTAATGTATTAAGTTAAACTTTTTCACCAACATTATTATTAGTCATTATATGGTTACTAGATAGCAAATCGTTATAAAAGCACATCAATTCCTAACTAATTTTGTATTAATGATATATTTTTAATTTTGAAATATAGATTATAAATTTATCTTAAAATTCAATAAACAACCCGGGCATCGCACGGGACACAAAACTTGTATATATATATAAAGGGGAGTTTTTTCCCGAGTTTTTAGAGAGCCACGTAAGATTTAATTTTCTTAGTGCGCCATGTAGGATTATAAATTTAAGTTGTATCCAATTAAATAAGAGATTATTAATTTATATTACAATTAAATAATTTAAATGTCATGTAAGAAAAATTGACGAATGAGATTTTAAAGTTTAAATCAATTAAATACAAAATATTATCTTTTGAGATTAGTAATTTTATCTAAATATATAAGAAATTTTAGCACATAAATACAAAAAAATTTGTTTTAAAAAATTCAAACAAATCGTGCATCGCACGGGCTTCATCTAGTTATATATTACTCTTTTCCTTTTCATTAAAATAAAAGAACATTTCTTAAAAAAAAAACTCAAAGAATATGATTTTTTTACACCATCATACTTTTATTTTATATAAGTGTTATATTATATTTGTTTCATATTTTTTGCAATTTTGAAATATTTTATATCTTAAAAATAATACTTTAAAGTTGCAAAAAATATGAAACGGAAGTAGTATATAATATTTTTTGATAAACATCGGTTAACAAAACTATATTTCTCGTCCAAAAAAAATAAAATTGTTATGTTCGAGAGATTTGAGATTCCGAACCCATAATGACAAATTCCTGGAATCACCACTGACAAATCCCAGACCCATAGGAATCCAAATCACCTTCCCAATTATTATAAGAACCCTAAAAATAAAATTCTCATCCATACATGAGAATCAAAATCCCAGAAAATTGGGAAAAAACCCAGAAAATTGGGACAGACTCTCATAGATGGAGAGAACAAAACAAAACATATAAACCAAAACGTAAAATAAAACAAAAAACTAAATTGAATTAAAGATAAAAGGTCGGAAATAATCCGAAGAAATTAGACTATTTCCGGCCTAAACGACCAATAAAATTAAAACCCTAGAAGAGAGAGGAGAGAGAAGAGAGAAAAAGGGGCGGATTGAATGAAATACCGTAATAATTAATAATGATAGTTTATTAATGGTTACTGAAGATTACCGTGCATGGCAATACACACACACACACAAACACACACACACTCTTTTATATATTATTATATTAGGGTTGTTAATGAGCCTAGTCTGTTTGAAAACCATTTGAACTCGGCTTGGTCAAAGCTTGGCTTAACAGGGCTTGGCTTGAGATTAAACAAGACGATACACGAGCTATGCTAAGCTTGCGGAGGCTCGAATTAGTTTTTAAAATAAATATTACTTCCTCCGTTTCTTTTTAGTTGACACGTTTTTTTTAGTCACGTTTGACAATGCACAAATTAAATCTTTAATATCTTTATTTACCGGTAAACAAAAAAAATATGAAAAGTTGATTTGTGAGAATATAGTGTCGAATCTAATAAGATCCCACATAACTATACTTTTCATCTATAATAACTATATATACTAAAGGCTTATCAGGAATGACACGTGTCATATCCTGGTTAAATTTTTTCCCGCTTTTTTTTCATTTTTTCATTTTACTTTTGGTCAAAACTTAATAATTAGAATATTTTATTTCCATGTTTTTTAAGCTACTATAAGTAGAATAATATTTTAGCCATTGACTATATGTATAATAAGTTTTATTCTCCAACTTTATTTATTATTTTTGACAATAAAATCTATTTTCAATTAGAAAAGAAAATATTATAATAACATATATAAATATATATTCTTTACTTTTCTACTCTTTATATTAATAATATCATGTGTCAAAATTTTGTGCAAAAATATATTCAACTAAAATATTTATAATAATGTAATACGTACACAATCTTAACTAATAAATAAAAAAAATGTAATTTGTCGAGAATACAATTTTTCCTCCATGCTTCAACACGATAATATTAGCAATTACCTATAAAATAATTAATCAAATAAAAATTATTGTTATATTAATAAAATTTATACGGGGTATATACTACTCATATAATACGTAAACATCCCTGACAACTTAATAACTCTAAATAAAAAAAAATAGATTATTAATTATCTCAAAGTAAAATAAAATCAAATAAATTTGCATAAAACACTGTGTCGAACAAAGTATGTTAAAAAATTAGGGAAGAATTGTATATTCATGTATTTGTGTATTGTATGGGTACTAATCTAAAATTTTCATTTTTATAAAGGGTAGTATAAAATCTCATAGTCCATAAATTTATTTTATTTTATTTTATTTGTTAAGTTTTTTGCATCAATATTCTTGACGTCTTTAGCATGGGTATAAACTAAAATTTTACTCCCTCCGTCCCTTATTGATAGTCCTTTACTCCTTTATGGTGAAATTTCATAGGAATTAAGAAACTTTGATAACTTAAATAAGAAGTAAAAGTACATTGGAAATATATGTAAAATATATGGGGTATGCAAAAAAGTATAGAGATGAAGTATGGAAATGCAAAATTTACATAGGAAGCTAAATTTGCACAAATATTGTTGCAAATTGAAGGTAATATTAATAAAAAAAAAATATTATAAAAAGTTGGAAAAACCAAATGGGACTATCATTTAAGGACTTAAATTAGTTCATAAGCTTATAAGGGACTATCAATAAGGGACGGAGGGAGTAGTTTTTCTATTTCCTGTAAAAATATACTTCGTAAATAAATTTTGGTACATAATTACTACAATAAAATTAACCATAAAAGTTAGTAAACCGTGAATGGCACATGATTTAAAGCTAGTTACGTGCGTATAAAGCAAAAAACACGATCAAAAGGGAGTGTGAGAATGGTGCTAAAGTCAAAAATGTATCAACTAATAAAAAAAACGGAGGTAGTATATATTTGTTTACATTTAAATAAAGTTAATAAGCACAATAACAAACCCACCATTATAAATAGGTAGTTTGGGTAAGTTAAATAAAGGGCCTAAGGACCTGTTTATATTTACTGAACTAAACTAAACTGAACTGATTAGAGCTGAACTAAACTGAACTGAACTGAATAGAGCTTAAATGAATATTTTATGAGAGAAAGAAATTAAGAGCTGGACTGAACTGAACTGAACTGAATTGATTCGAGTTGAACTAAACTAAACTGAAATTAAACTGAAGTGAATAGGCCCTAAATGAGCCTAATTTCAAAATCCATTAAGTCAGTGTCTTAACCTAAGGGGCGAAATCATTTTCCACGGATTAAAATATATAAAATCTTCTCAAAATCTTTATTGATGTCAATCTTTCCTTGTGATGTGACAAAGTTATTCTAGAATACCCTAGGTATTGTACACAGGGGCGGAGCCAGCAGGATTTTTAGGCTAGGGGGGTCGATGATTGAATCAACATATAAATATATGGCTCATTATTATAACAATTTTTTCTAAATATCAAATTATGAATTTTCATATAAAAATATGTCAATAATAGAAAAAATAAAATGAAAAAAAATACAAATGTCGCTTAATATGATAGAAATTCAGACCAAGAAGAATTATTGTAATCCCATTTACCACTAAACCACTAGAATTTTATCAATAATTAAAGAAAATCATTAGTATATATATTAAAAAAAAATACAGGGGCCAGTTAATAAATATAAGGGCCACGGTTTGGGCTACAGGGGCCGAGCCTCTGCCAACACCCCCTGTACGTAGCTCCGTCCCTGATTGTACATGTATAATTTATATATATTCTCTCCTCTATGGAATAATAGACACATCTTTATTCTCTCTCAATAATCAATTTAACAACTGTGATCATTTTTTGTATTTTTTTTTTAGTTTTTATTTTTGTATGTTATGTTCAACTATATTAAAATCAACATACAAAATACTACTGTACTTTTTTTTCTCTCCTCTAATTAATTATTACTCCCTTTGTCCCTAATTTTTTTTTAAAAAATTAAAAACTTGATTTAAGTATAAAATACAATGAGGTGAATCTTACTAGATCCCACATAGCGAATTTGTAATTAAAGCTTTTAAAATTAATGAGGTGAATATGAATACCTTTTATAGACTAATGAAAATTTGTAATCAAAGTTTTTAAAACGTGACATAAATTTAAACAACTAGTTTAGGTCCCATATAATACCATGAATGGTAATTTTCAATAATCATTATTAAACTATCATTAAAAAAAATGATAAAAATATAGTAGTTGACATATCTATCTATCTATAAACCTATACTAAAGGCAAAACCTGTAATGACACTTGTCATTTCCTGGTTAAAAAATTTCCCGCCTTTTTTTCTTTCCTTTTTTTTTTTGCAATATTTAATGACATTCAAAAATAATTATTTCCATTTTAAGATTTTTAACAACATATTTAATCCATTAAACTAAATTTTTTTAACATATATTTTATATACTAGAAAACTTTTCGTTACAAAAATATTAATAACATAGATTAAAATTAAGGTACTGTAATATATTATTTTTCCGACACTATTATAATATTATCAATATATCAATATCAATATTTTATTCTTTAACTTTCATCATTTGACAATTAAATTTATTTTAATTAAAAAAGAAAAATCATTTGGTAGCTCACTTTGTATAAATCTTAAAATTACATAATGTTTAGGAAAAATGGAAATTAAAAATCCAACCTTTACACTTTTTCCTCCAAAAAATCCAACCTTTATTTTATTCCTCAAAAATCCAACCTTTATACCCTCCCTTTCATCTAAAGGTCTATTACCTGTTGATGACCGGGTTTTTAATTTAGATGCCACATGCCAGCTATTTATAGGTCAATTATTTATTTTATTATTAAAAAATTAAAATAGTTAAAAAAAATTAAAAAAAAAAAAGATTTTCCAGCCACCATTCCTCACCACCTCCATTAAATCCAGCCACCATTCCTCACCACCTCCCTTCCCGACAATCCTCCCCTTACCCTCCCTTTCCGACCACCCTGTTTTTCCGGCCACAACCCAACTCGCACCACCACCCAACTCCGTTTTCACCCTCCATTTTAGCAGCCTCGCAAACCGCAACCACTGACTCCAAATCGCCCGGCCACCTACTCCAAACCGCTACAGTTCATTGCTCAGCCCAAACAACTGCACGCACAACCCACAATACCATAAAACCACCATCACCACCACCCTAAACCTTCAGCCGCAACATCAACATGAAAACAATTCAACATCACAATTATAAAATAACCAATTGAAATCCAGCCCAATCAAATCGATAAAAAAACGACCTTTTTTTAAGAGATTTAGGGGAGGGCGGTGAAAGGGAGAAAAGAGAGACCAGTCCATGACGAATAGTGGGTTCAAGAGTTTCATTGATAACTGCGGGTGGTAGGGGTGGAGGGGGTGGTCGGCATGGAGGGGCTGGGGGTGGCGGTGCTTGGTGAGGGGATTTTTTAAAAACAATCGTGTCATGGTGATGGTGAGAGTGTTGGTGGCGTACTGGTGGTTAATTTGGTTGATTTCCATTTTTGAGGAAAGAGGAGTGAGAAAAGAAATTGAGAGAATTGAAAAAAAAAACTTTTTAACCTGTTTAACAGGTCAAAGGTAAAATGGATCTGTTGAAGAAGGAGGGGTATAAAGATTGGATTTTTTAGGAATAAAATGAAGGTTGGATTTTTGGGAGGAAAAAGTGCAAAGGTTTGATTTTTAATTTTCCATTTTCCCTAATGTTTATAAGTTTAAAAATTATTTTGGTATAGTATACATAACATAATTGGAAAATTTAATCTAATTACTCTAAGTATTTATGTGATTATTATTTAAATATAAAAACCCCTACTACTCACTAAAAATGTATTAAAAAATTGATTACATAATACTAGATATTTTAAACTAAAATGAAATTAACTAAGTTTCATATTATGCCGGTCAAAATGTATCAACAATTTAAGGATAAATGAACATGAATTCGTATATGGGTACTAATCTTTTACTTTTCTTATATAAACCTTATAACTTCTAAATTTCTATTATTATATTATTTTTTATAATAAATCTAATCCAATAACCTTTACGTATTTGGTATTGGTATAAACCAAAATTCAAGTTATTTTTTTTACGAATAAGTTTTTTAGATAAATTAATGTTGAATTTACACCATTATTTATAATTTATTTGTTGTTAAATTTAATTATGAACGTGCATGTGCATGGCACGAGATTTAACCTAGTTTTAATTAAAATAAAGGATTACGAAAGATATGTTATATATACAATGATGTAGAATATGATCAAAAATAAGTTAAGAAATTTTTTACAGCTATATAAATATTAGTGTTAAAGATACATCAATTTTTTTTTTATTTTATGTAATTATATTGTATAATGTCTTAGAATGAATATTTTTTGTATATAAGATTTGTTTCTTGAATAAAATTTTATTTAGCAAAAAAAAAAGTAAGGAAACATCCAAAGATAACACTTGTCATTGCTAATATGTCTATAGGAATAGGAGGAGTAATACGCATTATTACGCAAACAAAGCAGGGAGGTCGTGCCTTTAGAAGTTCTCAATGTCAAGACTTCACCAATTTCACTGACTCAGCTGGCTTAATCGATTTAGGTGCTCGGGGTAACCCTTATACTTGGGAGAATGCCAGGTTGGGGAAATCTCATATCGGGGAGCTTTTGGATCGTGCCATTTCCAATGCTGCTTTCATAGCCTCTTTTCCCCAAGTTCAGGTAACTAATTTGGTGATAACTTACACTACTACAAAAATGGTCAAAGAGACCCAAACTAAGAGACCTGTTAACTACATAAGTGGTCTCTGTGAAAAGAGAGACCCGGTATCTTCATTAACAGGTCTCTCAAAACATCATAAAGACCTGTCATTTAAGATAACCGGTCTCAAGGTATAAAGAGAGACCCGTCCTTATAAAAAACAGGTCTCTTGATTTTTAATTTTTTTAATTTTAGAAATTAGAAAGACCTGTCATCATAATGGACGGGTCTCCTAAAATCCCCAAAATCGTGCGCGTGGTGTGGCAATTCAAAACCCTAACCCTTTAAAAAAAATTTTTTCACTCTCTCATTCTTCTCACTCCGTCTCTCATCTCTTTCTACTCCATATGAGTACTCATCTCTTTGTCCTTCCTCCTTTAACCTCGTATCATTCTCACCCTGATTTTAATTTCCTTCAAGTTTTTCTCAATTTCAAGAAGTGATCTTTACTACGGTATGTAAAATTTCATGATCTACTGTCAAAGCAAGTTTGCAACATTTTTTTTTCCTGATTTAAGGTGTTATAGATCTTCATTTTTTCATTGTCTTAAATGAAAATCTGACTATCTTATAATTGATTATAATTTTTGTTTTTTAAATTTTTTTGATACAGTTCTTCATTAGTTATGATAATGGATTTTTCATTTGGTTTTATTCCTTTTTTCTTTTACGTTTTTTTTAAAAAAAAAATTCCCTTACTTAGATCTTCTAAAGTGTTATTCTGTTAGATCTAGTTTAGTTGATTTTTCGGTCACATTTTTTTGTATTATTGTTTTATTCAGACTTGATACATTGATGTATTTCTTTTATTTTCATTTTCAATATCTTTTTGTAGTTCTTCAAATTTTAGCTCTAGAATTTTTTTTCGTTTTTAAAATTTATCTTTTTAGTTTTCTGTCAATTCATTTTTTAGATCGTTTTTGAAATTGGTTAAAATTATTTTTAAGCAAATTTCACATTTTTTACCAGGGAAAGGACCCTAATTCACATTCGCTACCCCTTTAATTTTTTATTTTATTTTACTACCACCCAAATCCTAAAATTTTAGATATCACTACCATTTGACGGATGCCGTTACTATTTCCGTAAGTGAAGCCCAACCACCGTCCAACCACCTCACCGTCACCGCTCCATCTTCAACCACCCTCATTGCCACCATCCAACCTCCATTTCCCATCAACGTCGGCGCCCTAAGAATCCCACGGCAGCCGCGAAACTCCACCAGCAGCCCACCTCCTTCCCAAACGCCACCAACACCTCCTCACCTTCACACAACCACCAAGAACAAACCCCTTTCCCAGCCCGGTTCCAACGAACACCTTAGCTTCACACAACCACGAATCAAAAACGACCCCATTCCCAGCCCGATTCCAGCTCGAACCCTATTCACCCATCAGCGCGGAGGTTCTCTTGCCAGCCACAAATTAAATCGCAAATCCTAGCCACCCGATCAACCACCAACCCTCACGAAAAAACCAATCAGCCCCCTTTAATTCGTTTTTCGTGGTTTTGGGGTGGTGGTTTAGGGTTAGGGGAGGCCGAAAACGCGGTAAAGGAAGGGGAGGGGGGTCGATTCGGTGGAGGGAACGGGGTTGGGGGCGGATTCTGGGGGTGGTTTTGGTTTCGGTTCGGGGTGGTTGGTCGGGGCAGCGAGAACGGGAAAAGGGGAGGGGGGTTTGCGTTGGCTGCGTAGGGGTGGGGGATAGGGAGGGGGTGGGCACGCGCCGGCGCCGGCTGAAGTTCTGGGCGCCGGCCCCGCCGGCAGGGGGTGGCAGGGGAGGAGGAGGGTGGTTTATTTTATTTATTTTTTAATTTTTTTTTATTTTTTTAATAAACTTAACGGAAATCGTAACGGATTCCGTTAAGTGGTAGTGATTTTAAAAAAAGCCTAATTTAGGTGGTAGTAAAATAATATAAAAAATTAAAGGGGTAACAAATGTGGATTAGGGTCCTTTCCCTGGTAGTAAATGTGAAATTTTCCTTATTTTTATTTCATTTTTATTTTTTCTTATTGTTTTAAATTATTTTTTTTTTAACTTTTTTTTTTGTTATGTTTTCGTAATTTTCTTTGTTTTGATTTTTTTTTTAATTATGTTGGTATAGTTTTTCTGATTTATTTTATTGGATACTAATTTTTGTTTGGTTTTACTGTGTGTATATTTGTGGTTACAGTTACAAATTTCTACAAGCTATCATCTAGAAGATCTTTGATTCTTTGGAAGCGGAAGTTATCATTTACAGAGTTTTTGTATTTTTATTTTATCCGTGTGTATTGAGATTTTCAGTTATATTTGTATTATGTTAGTAGTTTTTGAGGTATATGGCATTCAAGAATTATTTTTGTACTCATTATTTAATAATGTAAAAAAAGATTAAATGAGTTATATTGATGAATTGCGATTACAATTTTTAAAATTCGTGTCAAATAAGCTATTTTTTTTAAATGATATTTGAGAGACCTGTTAAGTTTAATAACCGGTCTCAAATTTCTTACAAAAGAGACTGCTTATCTTCCACAGGCGGTATCAGTTATTCACAAAAAAGAGACTGTCTATCTTCAATAGACGGTCTTAGTTTTCTCAATCTAAAGACCGCCTCTAGTCAAGCAGTCTCTTTGCCAAAGAGACCGCTTAGCTAGAGACCGCCTATAAGGCAGTCTCTTTGGCTAATTTGGACGGGTCTCTTTGGCTGATTTTGTAGTAGTGTTACTTAGATCATTGCCCAATTCTTGTTACTTTTAGTCCAACCCCTGCTCGAGGCCCTTTTCCTTTTAGATGTAAGGATGTCTGGCTTTAGCATGCTCAATTCAAAGATTTTTTTTTTATTTCTCAATGGTTTAAGAATTCTATTCCCTTACCTTTTCTTGCTGATAGGTCTAACTTTTTAGCTAATGTTAATAGTTGGAATTCTAATGTGTTTAGGAATCTTAAGCTCAAAAAGAAAACCACCTTAGCTAGGATAAATGGAATTCAGAAAGCTTTAGCTTTGAACTCTTCCCATTTCCTTATTAATTTGGAAAAATCTCTTCTGTCTGATCTTAATGCTATATATAGGATGAAAAGAGTTATTTGGGCTCAGAAGGCAGGTATAAATTGGAGAAAATTTGGTGATTATAACACTAAATATTTCCATATTTTGGCTAAGGTGAAAAGAAGTAGAGGCAAAATTGTTGCTCTTAATAATGTTGATGGTGTCTTGATTGAGGACATTCCTTCTTTAAAGAGTTTAGCTAGGGCTCATTTTATCTCCCTCTTTTCTTCTTCCATTCCCCCTCATTCTGCTTCCCTTCCCTGTCCTGCTATTCAGGAACTCAATGAGAATGAGTGCTCCCTTTTGCCCTCCATCCCTAGTCTGGAAGAAGTGAAGTCCAACCTTTTTCTCATGGATCCTATTAAAAGTCCTAGTCCTGATGGATTGCAGCCCCTTTTCTTTCAACAATTTTGGGAGGGTATAGGACATCACATTCATCTTTTATCTCTCAAATTTTTAGGGATTGTTGTATTCCAATTGATGTAAATCAATCATACATCTATTTGATTCCAAAGAAGGACAATCCTATGTCTATGTCTGATTTTAGACCTATAGGATTGTGCAACACAATTTATAAACTTGTTACTAAAATCCTATCTTCTAGATTAAGGGGTATATTCCATAGAATCATAAGCCCTTTGCAGTCTAGTTTTATCAAAGGAAGATGTATGGAAGATAACATTATTCTTATCAAAGAAGTTGCCCATTTATTCCATAAATGTAAGAAGGGTAAAAATGTTATGGCTCTCAAGCTTGATTTAACAAAGGCTTATGATTTCTTGGAGTGGTCTGTCATTCAAGATACTCTTCAATATCATAAGTTTCCTCAAGCTTCAATTGATTTGATTATGCATTGCATTTCATCCACTTCTATTTCTGTTTTGTGGTGGAATGGGGAGGTCACTGACAGTTTCAAACCATCTAGAGGAATAAGACAAGGGGATCCTCTTTCTTATTACATCTTTGTACTTTGTATGGAAAGACTTTCTTTGATAATTAAAGACAATGTTGGTAAAGGGAATTGGAAGCCTCTTAAAATCTCTAAAAATCACAGCCTTTCCCATTTGTTCTATGCTGATGATGTTTTCTTGTTTGGGTCAGCCAATATTTCTAATCTCCAAATTATGCTGGATATTCTAGCACATTTTGGGAATTTTTCTGGTCTTAGGATCAATGAGCTTAAATCTAGTATCATTTTCCCTCCAAAAATGGAATTTGGTATCAGACATCAGATTTCTACTTTGGCTGGATTTCAATCTTCTTGTTCTTTTGGAAAGTATCTTGGGGTTAACAAAAGTCCTAATAAACTAAAAATGAATTACTATTGGAATCTCCTAACAAAATCCTTAGACAAAATGAAGGGGTGGCAAGCTAAACTTTTAAATATGGCTGGAAGGTGTACTTTGATCAAGTCTGTTCTTAATTCCTACCCTCTTCATGCCATGCAAACTGGTCTCCTCCCTGCTTCTGTTCTTGTTGATCTTGAAAAACAATGCAAGAAATTTTTATGGAATAGGACTGATTCCATTAGATATACCCCTAGAACTAAATGGTCCAATGTTATCCTTCCTATTGCTCTGGGGGGGTTAGGGATGAGATCTTTGAAGGAGTGGAATTTGTGCTTTATGGCTAAACTAGGATGGATTATTCTAACCCAGTCTAATAAACTTTGGGTCAAAATTTTAAAAGATAAATATTTTAGAAGATCTAATTTTTTAGATTCCATTCCCAATTCTTCTCAATCTCCTATGTGGAGAGATATCCTGAAGGGAAAATCAATTCTTTCCAAGGGATTAATCATTAGAATTGGTAATGGTGAAGACACCTCTCTATGGTATCATCATTGGGTGGGGGAAGGCCCCCTTTATAAAATCATGTCTGTTGAAGTTCCTAAATCCAAGGAGCATTGGAGGGTTTCTAATATCATCAGAAATGGGAAATGGTTTCTTAATAATGTGATTCATGTTCTTCCTCCTCATAGCATTCCTCTTATTCTTTCTAACCCCCTTTCAATCATTGATTCAGACTCTTCTCCTGATGAAATTAGATGGCAGTATCACAATTCTGGATCTTTTAATATAAATTCAGCTTACTTTCAATTTACAGCCCATGTGCCTATCCCCCTGCCATTTCAGTTGAATTGGAAACTTTTTTGGAAAATCAAAGTTCCCTTTAGATACAGTATGTTTATGTAGAATTGTGTCCTGTCAGTTATTCCCACTGCCTCCTTGCTTGCTACTAGAATCCCTCATTTTGATGCTACCTATTTTAGATGCAAGTGTCTTCCAGAATCCTTTCTTCATTTGTTCAGCGATTACACCTCTACTTCCACTATTCTTTAGAAAATAATCTTCCAAAAAGTCAAACCTCCTTCCAATTTCAATTATAGCATTTTTATGAATTCTGATTGGAATGTTTGGCTTAAATTTAATCTCTCTCAGACCCAAAAATGGAGAGCAATCTTCTCAATGGGAATGTGGCATATCTGGAAATTACGAAATGGAGTTATCCTTAACAATGAGATATACAATTGTAATTCTGTTTTTAATAGATTTATAATTGATTATCAAATCAATTCCTTAATATTGCAGGTTCTGATAAAGGGAAAGGAATTCTAGGTGCATATAGGAGTTCCTCTGCTGCTATTCTTAAATGGAATCCTCCTAGAGCTGGTTTTCTGAAATTAAACATGGATGGAGCTTGGAAGAACTCTGAACAAGCTGGAGGAGGTGGTGTTTTCAGAACAGATAAGAGTTAATGGTACTTTGGCTATTCCAGTAAGTACAATGCTAATTCAGCTCTGACTTCTTGTAGGGAATATTTCAAGCATTACCCCTAGCTTGAACCCCACTGTGATCATACACTTAAGAATGGTGGCATCCAAAGGGAAAGAAGATAGAGCAAAAGAGTCGCCAACAAGTTTTAGAAACATGTAAACCGTTCACAGGGTGAAGGTTACACCCCTTAACGATCCAAGAGATCGTTAACTCCAATAGATCTGGAACCATGACTGGTAGTTCGGGGATGAAGGTACAAATCCAACCTAAAAGAGATTGAACCTGCCCTAATAATAGGCCTCTACTTTATTCTGATCGTATTGATGTGCGCTTTCTAACTAACATGCAATCAATAGGTTTAACCCTAAACCTGCTTATCTATGTTGGTTGAATATTAATTCACAAACAAACCTATTATTGGAGATCACTTGAATTATAATCATATTAACCCTAAACAAGATTATTAATTATCTTATTAAGCGTGATTACAAGTACAAATTCCCTTTAAACATGCATAAAAGGCGTGATCAAACAATAACAATAAAATATATCAAGCAGCATAATAATAATAAAAATAATAATAATAATCATCATTAAAATAATCATGTTAAATCATAATAATAATAGCAAGATCCTAGGCATGATACGAACAAGATTAATAACAAACCCTAGCATGTCACTAAGCAATAAAAATCAAAGCTTTAACCCTAACATGATACTAACATGAATATTAGGAAATAAAATAGGAAGCGTCATAGAAATCATAATTGATATAAGAAAATCACCCTAAATATCATACTAAAGAAAGCATCCTAACATGATACTAGGAACATCCTAAACATGATACTAGGAATCAATAAAACATCCTAACATTATACTAGGAATCAAAATAACAATCTAAGCATGATTTCTACATCATAAAATCAATAAATCAATTAAAGCACTTACTTGGATGTCTCGTACCTCTTTCTAATAATGAAATACACGCGGTAGTAAGTTCAAGGAAAATAAAAAATCAAAATAATTAAATTAAATAATAATTGAAATAGAGATTTGAGACCAAACCCTCAGAAATTAAAATCTTTCACGTCTAGGGCGGAGGCAATTTCGAACTTGGATAAGTATTTCTAGGTCTTGTGAATGAGGAATTTTGTAAGAAGGGTGATTCGGAAAGGAGAGAGAGAGAAAAAGCTTCTAGCTTTGAGAGAGAAAAGAATTACAAAACTGAGGAATTGATGAGTGTAGATGATTGAAAACGGAGTTTTTAAGAGGCTATTTAAAGAGAAAATCAGCCAATAAGATAGAAAATCGAACCAGAGTTCTGACGTGAAAAAATAAAGTTAGCGCCAGACGCTGACATCAGCGCCAGACGCTAACGCTAGCGCCAGGCGCAAATTAGCTTAGCGCCAGGCGCTAATGCTAGCGTTAGGCGCTAATCAGGTTTTTTGACGCGTTTTCTAAAATCAGATAGAATTTAACCATACAGGAGGATAAAATCGTATTTTCCTAAAAACACTTTTTTATTCTAATTAAAATTCCAAAAAGTAATTTAAAGTCAATTTATCAATGCTAATTGAATTAGGAATGAAAAGAACCTTCTAGAAGAATCTAGAAAACTAAAACCATTCCTAATTGCATTAGGAATGATAAGTCTATATTAGGCCCTCCCCTAGATCATTGGGCCGCATATAAGGCTCAAACCGGGTCCAGTTTAGTAATTTGGTCATAACTTCCTCAATATTCATCGAAATTGGGCTTATAATATATCGTTTGAAAGATCTTTTCAAGCCCTATCCAACTACACTATTAATGGACCCATATTATGGACCAAACAAACTAAATTTTCTGTTTTATTAAAATAGGTTTTCAAAAAACAGAGAGAAGAGAAAAGAAATTAAAACTACCCGCAACACTAAACTTTCCACACTTTCACTTCAATTGATTACGATTCGACGTGAAAGGTACTCACCACTGGGTTTAGTTTCAGGAAGACACAAATGGGTGTCTACAGAAGCCCCCACTTTGACTGAGTTTGGAGAAACTCAAGTTTCGAAAACAAAAGTCAAAGTATCGATAGGGACGGAGAATGATTCAGAACGTTCTCCGATCCTAAATCATTCTTGTAACGCCGATACCTGCAAACTAGCGTTAGTTAAACAGATAAAAGAGTTAAGAAACGCGTATCTTGCACCGTCGAGCACATGTCTCAGAAAGTAACCGATTCGTTGCTACATTGTTGTATTTCTGTATTTACGACCTCCTGCAAGCTAAAGAATGCCGCCTGAAGACTACTACGCTTGTAACTGCCTCCAATTCTGCTATGATAGACTTCTGCAAGCTAGAGAACCCCATCGAAGATTGCTTCTCTTGAAACGACCTTCTAATATTTTGTGACCATCTTCCGCAAGCCAGGGAACACGATCGAAGACAACTTCGCTTGAAATCACCCTCAGTTGATTGTGACAACTCTCCACAAGTTAGGGAATGCTGCCGAAGATATCCTCGCTTGAAGCTATCCATATTTTTTGCGATAATATTCCGAAGAAAAATTACCGAAGATCCACGCTTGTCGATCTTTAAAAGCTCACTTGAACTTTGCTTCCGTTATGCCTGTACGTCGGCGCTTGTGCTGCTTTTGAACCTGTATGTCGGTGCCTTTTGCTGAATGAACCAGTTGTTGGTGCTTTCTGAATTGTGAATCATCATGAA